TTTTACCACATTGGTAGTTGTGTGCTAGAGGTTCACGATCCAACACTGGAGAGTGTAAAATAAGGAGTTTTTTTGTCTGCTGTCTGGCTCGCAAGATTTTTCAAATATTCGAGTCGTCTTTAGCCACTTCCATTTTCTAACAATTGCTCCAACAGTTGATCTATTTTCACCAAGCTGCTTAACAATTGCCCCGTAGCCCTTTCCAGCCTTGTGGAGGTCCACAATTTTGTCTCTGGTGTCTTTTGACAGATCTTTAGTCTTGCCCATGGTAGTAGTTGGCATCTGACTGACTGTGGGGTGGACAGGTGTCTTTAAAGTGCTCAGACAGGTGCTACTAAGTTAGATTAATGAGTGGAGTAGAGGTGGACTTTTTAAAGGCACAGTAACAGGTCTTTGAGAGCCAGAATTATTGCTGTTTCTTAGGTGTTCAAATACTTATGTTCAGCAGTGCAAGACAAATTCTTTAAAAATCATTCAATGTGATTTCCTGATTTTTTTTTTTTTTTTTTAAATTCTGTCTCCCAGAGTGGGAATGCACCTACAATGTGAATTTCAGACCCCTCCATGATTTCTAAGTGGGAGAACTTGCAAAATCGCAGGGTGTTCAAATACTTCTTTTCGTCACTGTATGCAGCATACCTGCACTCTGTATATAGCACATTCCTTATCCCTGTACTTGGAATGTAATGCACTCCTGAACCCTGCACTCTGTATGTAGGGCACTCTTGAACTCTGTACACAGCCCAGTCCTGAACCCTGCACTCTGTTCACGGAGTACTGCTCTCCCTGTATAACGCACTTTTCAACTCTGCATTCTGTACATAGCGCACCCCTGAATTCTGTACTTTGTGCATCATAAACTGCACTCTGTAGGTAGCACACTGCTGAACTCTGCATTATATATAGCACACTAACGGAGGTGATGTATATGGTGAGTGGTGCAATGGGGGTGTGATGGAGTTCCTGCACCTATTCTATGCGGAAAAAAAGCCCTGTAGCCTTAGGCCTCATTTACACTTGGATTTGTAACTCCTCCCCCTTCTACTGCATGCACTTGAAGACAGCTGCATTTTGTTTTGAGGTGGGGTCAGGGGAGGTGCCAGGGGTGTAGTCAAGGGCAGGGGCAGGGTCGAAGGGGGCCCTGTCAGGTAGGCTGTACTGGGCCCCATGATTTCTAACAGTGGCCCTGGGCACAGGTACCAAATAATTCTGATTCAGGAGATCAGTTGCATATTAGAAGCCCTCTTTAGTTCTACAGCTAAGGAAAAATGTGTTGCTCTTTGTTATATAGGTCATTAGAAACTAGAATATTGTAGGTGTAATCTGTCATATATGATCCAATGATAGTGTATAGTGTTGAGTATTTCCATCTCCTTTATAATAAGGTGTTATTTCTTAGTCTTCTGTTATGCAGCAATGTAATTCCCATGTCACTGTGTTGCAGAATCATGTTAAGAAAAAGTGTCTGTCTAAGCTGCTTTAGAGAATGGAATTCCAGACTCAATGCAGGAGATTGGGACAAAGAATCTACTATGGGAAGTTAAACAGATATCATTGTGTTTGCTCTGAGACTCAGAATTTGAGGCCTTGCCATCTATTCAAAGAACTCTGCTGTTATCGCCTTTTCAGGATTTCAGGAATAAAGTATTCTTTTGCTGCTCAGGTGCTGAGTTTTTTTTTTTTTTTTTTTTTTTATTGAAAGGGAACCTGTGCCCAGACTATGAATACTAAAGTATTTATATATTCTGAACAAGCGGCAAAGGCTTGACCACCTTTTGTGCTTCATTTTGTGAAACCCCCATATAAAGTATATTTGCATTTTCAGTCACACAGCATACCTAAAGTACTGTAATATAAATTCTTACTTTATTTTTTTAGTGTTTTGGAGCAGGAATATACATGGAACGCTATAGGCAGCTTCTATTGCTTTTAATAGTTGGCAGTGTGGAAATAGGGGACAAACTCATTAAATGCTTTAAAAAAAAAAAAATAAACTGTGCAAGGTGAAGGCATATTGTGCTAGTTGCAAACTTGTACATTATGAAATACTTACCTTGAAATGAAGCCCCCCAGCGGTGTGCTGTCACTGATGAGACTTCCATCTTTACTTTACTCTTCCTTCCAGGTTTGCAGGCCACTGAGCTGCGATAACCCCACTCTTGTGAATGCACGCGGGAGTCACGGCCATGGCACAGGGCTCTGAAAGAATGGCATTGCCTTGACGTCACTGGCTGTTGCTCCCTAGAATATCTCCTAAATGGTGCACATTTAGATGTTCATTTTACCTACAGGTAAGCTTTATTATAAGCTTACCTGTAGATAAAAGTAAACTTTAAGAGTTTCTACCACTTTAAGTGCATTTACATACAATGAACTACCCAAGCCTCAGATCTTTAACGCTTTGTTAGGACTGAATGTACTGTACATCTAATTTACAAAAAGATAATGAAATCCTCCAGCATATTACAGACAGGGTTAATTCTGGCATACAACACTCCCCAGTCCCCTTATAAACATTACATAAAAAGGAGAACCAAGTAGGATTTTTCAGTTCTGGAATTTTCAAAAAGAGCATGTAAAAGGTGATCTATGTTGAAAATTATGATATATGAACAGGAACATGTAACAGATATAAAGTAGGCGTTATCCTAATTTGACTGAAAAAGTGGAAATACAGTTTAACCACTTGCCTACCGAGCATTTATACCCCCTTCTTTACCAGGCCAATTTTCAGCTTTCAGCGCTGTCGCACTTTGACAATTGCACGGTCATGCAAGATTGTACCCATATGAAATTTTTATAATTTTTTTCCCTCACAAATAGAGCTTTCTTTTGGTGGTATTTAATCTCTGCTGGGCACTTTACTATTTGCGCTATAAGCAAAAAAAGTGCAAAAAATAAAATAAAAGTTTCTTTCTTTTATAAAATTTTTCAAACAGGTAATTTTTCTCCTTCACTGATGTGCGTTGATGAGGCGGCACTGATGGGCACTGATAGGCAGCACTAAAGAGGTGGCACTGATAGGCAGCACTAAAGAGGTGGCACTGATAGGCAGCACTAATGAGGTGGCACTGACAGGCGGCACTGCTAGGCATTGACTGGCGCAACTGCTGGGCACTGACTGGCACAACCGCTGGGCACTAACTGGTGGCACTGACTGTTAGCACTGCTGGGCTGCACTGATGGGCACTGGTCGGTGGCACTGGTGGGCACAGGTGGGTGGGCACTGGTGGGTGGCACTGCTGGGTGGCACAGGTGGGTGGCACTGCTGGGTGGCACAGGTGGGTGGCACTGCTGGGCACAGGTGGGTGGCACTGCTGGGCACAGGTGGGTGGAACTGGTGGGTGGCACTGCTGGGCATCGATCATCAGGGCACTAATGATCAGTGCCGATCCCCGCTCTGACAACTGCCGGTTCTCGGCAGTACTTTCCTCACGCTCTGACAGCGTGAGGAAAGTGCAGCTGAGAACCGGCAATTGCATTTCCCGGTGATCAGCGTGTCATTGGACACGGCTGATCACGTGGTAAAAGGCCGCTGTGATTGGCCTTTTACCACATCACATGATCAGCTGTGTCTGTAGGACACAGCGATCACAGAGATCGCCGGGTGCGCGCCCCCGGGGGCACGCAGGAGAGCACGTTCTGGGAGGACGTCATATGATGCTCTCCCAGAACTGGCTGGCCGCAGTGTAGCTGTCATTCGGCTATCTGCGGTTGGCAAGTAGTTAAAGGCCCTTGCACAAACACTACCTAAGTCTATTTACTGTAATTGCAGCCATAATTCTACCACCCACATAGTCCAGGTGCAGCATTCAGCCTATAATTGTGAATGGCTGGCTGTGTGGCGCCGTACTCGTGCATATGGCAGTGCTATCGTATACATGAGTACCAGTTGCAAACTGGTATAGAAGCACTCGTGGGTCTTGCAGTGGAAATAAATTAAAACAACAGTTCTTTATTGTCGGTCAGTCCATCTGTCACATACAGTACATGAATGCAGCATACAGCGTGTGCAAAAATATACATTTTTCTGTGGGCTGCCTAGAGGAATTAAAGCTGCAGATGTGCTGAACAGGCTACGGTGGTCCATGTGCAAGAGCCCTAAACCAAGTCCTCATTACCCTCTGTTTCTATAAGCATTCATCTTCAAATTCACGGCAATATTAGCTGTTCTTCTTTTACAACAGAAGTTTGTCAGCCTGCCAGCTCTCTAATGGAAACAACCACCAGTGTTCCTTAGCTTTTGTAAACTGATATACATATACAGTGTGGAAACATTGCAGGCCTCTGTGCCTAATGACCACTAAATCCTATGGCACGTTTCACACTGCTCGATTGCTGGTTTGTTGCGTTTTTAAAAGTCCTGCAAGCTGCATTTGTGGTCCATGTTTGGTGTGGTAAAAAAAAGCACAAAATACACACCTCCCCATTGAAATAAATAGAAAATGTGTCAAAAATGTGTCAAAAACACACCCATGGTTGCATTTTGGTGTGTTTTTTTGAGTTGTTTGTCCTTTTTTTTTTTTTTTTTTTTTGAACAGGTGCAAAACGCACTGGAAATGCTGTAAAACCAAAAAGGCATATGAGTTTTTACCTCATTTTTGCTACGGAGCAGTGCGAAAGCCTTATAGCAGTGGCCTTCTACTTGAAAATTAGGCCCCTTTCACACTGATGTAGTGTGGATTGCCCACACTGTGGGTGCAACATACTGTACCTGCGGGTTTGGTGCATGTTAGCTGCGCTTTCCTATAGAGTTCTTTGGTGTGCTTTCTGAAAGCGCAATTAAACTCCTGAACCGGCAGCATCATGCTGTTTGACAGTACTGTCAGTTTTCAGGGTCGGGTGCTGAAATGCAGAAAGCTTACTTTGTTTCAGCTGTGCAAAGTCAGCAGTTGGCTGACTGGGCCAGGACAAGGCGGGCCACACATGGAAGCCGGTAAGCTGTGTGCTGGGCATCAGGGCTCTAGAGTAGTGGTCTCCAAACTGCGTCCCCAGGGCCAGATGTGGCCCTTTACTTGCTTTTATCTGGCCCTTGTGCAGAATTCCTCTCACTGATACCAAGGATGAGGCATTATTCTTCCCACTGGCACCAATGTTGGAGCAATCCTCTTCCCACTCACATCAATGATGGGGCACTATTCCTCCCACTGACACCAATGATGGGGCACTATTCCTCCCACTGACACCAATGATGCGGCACTATTCCTCCCCTGACACCAATGATGCGGCACTATTCCTCCCACTGACACCAATGATGGGGCACTATTCCTCCCACTGACACCAATGATGGGACTATTCTCCCACTGACACCAATGATGGGCACTATTCCTCCCACTGACACAAATGATGGGGACACTATTTCTCCCCCTGACATCAACGATGGGGCACCATTCTTCCCCAGAAATAATAGAGATTGTTAATTCCAACAGATCACAGTCCGGCCCCTCTAAAGTCTGAAGAACAGTAAACTGGCCCTTTGTTTAGCAAGTTTGGAAACCCCTGCTCTAGAGTCTTTCTGGTGATCTGTGGGGTTTTGGAGAAAAAATACAGTTGCGGCAAAAGCAGCTAGAGGGGTCCAGGATTGGTTGTTTTAAAGCCCTTTACTGCTTGTCCATAACACTGGTTTCATGCATTTCAGGTATTCATCACTGAACACATAGGGCCCTTAATGTGGCCACCACTCAGTAGTGTCAAGCTGCAGCCTGCATAGACAGGTCGTTTATCAGCCGATTTTTTTTGTCCGCATGAAAAATCGGCTGATATTCATGCCGTTAGTGGGGCCCGCCCATCGGCCGATTTTTGTGGATCGTCTTGTTTACTTTTATCGGTCATGCTGGAAATCCACGAAAAATGGCCGTTTTTCGTGGCCGATTTTCGTTTATCGACCAACAAATGGCCCGTCTATGGCCCGCCTTTGACAGGCTGCAAGCAGCAGGCCTGGATGCTGCACTTGTATCTTCCCAGTAAAATGATGGTCCTGTGTGTTTTGCAAGTTCTCTGGTTTATGTGCAACAGTTTTACCTACTTTACTTGAAGTGAAAGAATAGGTAATCTGGAGATGAGCAGCTCACCACCAATACTTGATATTTCCATTCATTATCTGTACACTGGTCGCCCAGTGAAACTGTATGATAACAGCAGTTTTTTGGGGGTTTTTTTTTAACGATAAATGTTGTTTCAGCTATATTCCTATAGTATATAAAATGCTGTGTGTCTTCCAGTACAAGGTATTGTGGAACTGGCATCTCCTGAATTCCAACCTAGCCAAAGGTGACCTGTCAGTGTGTAACAGGGTTGTGTGGATGGACCACATGATATGTACCAACTGGCTTTGTGGTCGTTATTTAGACAGTGTTATTTGTACATTGTGGTCAGATCTTCTGTTTTGCAAAACTGATCAGATTCTAGATCTACATTCCAACTGATAGTACAACTTGTATAGAGCATAGATGAGATGACATGCGGGAGAAGCTGCACAGTTACAGTAACAGTGTTATTTCTTTTGGGATAAAGGTTTTGCATGAATAAATAAAGCTGGTCATTGTAGGCAACCCTGTCATAGCTGAAAGCAGGTGGGAGAGGCAGAGACCAGGCAGACAGGCAGGAGAAGCTGTCATTCATGTTTACCTTCTTTGTACATTTTACATCAATTTCTTTTTATAAATCCATACACCTTTTCTAGCTCCCTACAATCTAGATTTATTTATTCCTTTGCAGCAGCTCTGCAAGAGCCCCCCTTCCCCCACAAGGATTTGCATCCATACATAGAAGAAAGAACAGTGGCTAAGTGGTTAGCACTGCCGCCTATCAATACTAGGGGTCGTTGGGTTTGAATCCCAATCACAGCACTACCTGCCTGGAGTTTTAATGTTCTCCTTGTGTCTGTGTAGGTTTTCTACAGGTACTTCGATTTCCTCCCACACTCAAAAGACATGCTGGTAGGTTAGTTGGCTCCTGTCTAAATTGGCCTCAGTATGAATGTGAATTAGGGACCTTAGACTGTAAGCCCCTTGAAGGTAGGGACAGATGTGAATGTATAATTTGTAAAGCGCTGTGTAAATTGATGGCACTATAATAAGTACTTGTAATAAATAAAAGGAATATGGCACATAGCTGACAGATGAGTTTGGAGCCCAAAAGATGGAATGGTGATATTGTAGTATTTTCACAAACAACTATCATCCTTTAATGTAATTAATCTCCTATTGACATTCCATAAAGGCTGGGTCATACTGAGAAGTCTGAGTTATTGATAAGAAAGCATTTTATTACTTGATTTACTTTTTTAGAATTGCGTTCATACGTATTCCACTCAGTAATGTCACATAACCTTTTGTCTAGTTTTTTTCTAACGCTGTAGTCATTTTCCTTTGGCCACAGTGGTGAAACCTTATCAAATCTCTATATCTGTAGGACAGTTCGATGTCCCAACTTCGCTCTGTATTATTAACTAGCTGTGAATTGCTAGTGTTGCATGACAGTCTGAAAACAAAGGTTAAAAACATTTATATAAACCTGACAGAAACTGTAAACACCGAATAGGGCCCGTTCATACCATGAATCGCATAGGAACATGTTGAGCAATTTAAGTCCATTGATTTGAGTGGACTAAAATAATTCCAGACCGCACCAAAAGTAGTGAATGCACCACTTTACAAAACACACAGCAAAGGGACCTGGTGCAGGAAAAAGCATTGCATTTGTGACCTGCGTTTGGGGTGTTAAGCATTAGTTAACTCAGTTTTGCTGACTATAGCTGGTGCCACTAATCATTCAGAAAAAAATCAACATGTTGGTTGTACACCACGCAATCAATATATTGGCCTGTGTACAACCAGCCTGCCCATACATGGACTGCATTTCAGCCTGTCTCTGCAGAACCGCCGTATTTCGATCCATGAATGGCCAGGTTTAGGTGATGTCCTCATTAACATACAATGCAATAAGCCCAGCATCTGCACCTTTAATTTTGTTACTAGGACTGACAGTGTTAAAATCTACGCTGTGACCTTCCGGTAATCATGTGATTGCTATGCTCTCACATGATCAGTGTCAACAAAGCTGTTATGAATAAATTCATACATTTTTTTTCCCCTAATAATCATATTGCATCCTATAAAATCTTACTGTGGAAGTAATTTGATAACTCATACCCTCAAACCATCCTCCCCTAAGGACCCCCTCTCGTTCCTTCCCTAGTCTTTCCCAGGTACCCTATCCACTACATGCACATACATGCTCTGTTTCCTATACCCAGCATTTCTCATTCCTCGATTTCTTAAACTCCAACCATTTCCTTCAGATAGCATAATATTTTTCTAGGGAATCCTCTCCTATATGTATAGTCTCTTCAATAGGCAGTACCTGGTCAACCTTTAAACCCATTCTCTCATATCCGGAATTTTTTGTGTTCGCCAGTACCTGGGGATCAGACTTTTGGCTGCATGTTGCAGGTGCCGATTTAAAGATATCCGATATTGTGCTATGATTACCCCTGGTTCACATCTGTGCAGTCGTGTGAGCCACAATTTTGCGTGTGTACAAAACCTCATTCATTTGAATGGACTCCGTGCCTCGGAACATATAGGGAAGAAGCCTGTGCACTACTTGGGATCTCGCAGCCCGCACGTGAACCAAGGTTCCCAGTATGGTTGTGATTTCCAACGCGGGCGGCATGCCATTAGAATTAATGGCACCCGCCTCTGGGTCCCACATTCCTCTGTGTGGGTGGTGCAGCTGCAGGTATTTGTGCAGGTCCCGCAGCGGCACCATCCGCACAGATCTTACTCTGTGCTGTGTAACAGATGTCTCCACCAATATATTTTCTCCTGTTATTTCTTACATTCCCATGACAATCTCCTCCCAGAAGACCTGTATCTTTATGCATACCCATCACAGATGGACGAAAGTTCCCGGTGAATTGCATCCCCTCCAGCATAGGCGAAACACGTCTTCCCCTCAGCGGGGTCACATACCACCTAACACAAAGCTTAAAACACCTTTCCATCATCTTAGCATCAATTGATGAGAAACACACTCATTTTATGACCTTCCTCCTTTGATTCTCATCTAATTTGGTCCCCAGTTCTTGCTCGCATTTCCCAAGATAGGGGGCAAATTCAGGGTCTGTTTCTTTCACTAGCTCTTTGTATATTTTTGAAATACTATGTTTAATAGAAGAGGGAGAGCCAAGCATCCCCTCTATTGTCCTAAGGTTATCTATTCCCCATAGTGGTCATGACAATGTCTGTGCCAAGTGTTGTATTTGTGCATATCTCTATTTATATAATGGCATACTACCCCATTATTGCTTTGGTTTGAGAAGCATGCATAACCCGTCCCCTTCCATCACATCTTTTTTTTGACCACCTAACAAATATAAATGCTCCTCTTTCCCTGTTTTTAAAATAATTTATGTCTGACAATAAAAGGTGAGTTGTGTTCCCAGTGATAATGCCTGCAGAGGTCATCCCATGTTCTAAAGACCTATCTCGTCAGTGGGTTTGTGCTAATTGCTAAGTCTCAATATGACTGGAATTGAAACCATCTTGCCAACATCTACCTTACTGTGTGCAAGCTCTATCCCTACCCAGCTTTTACCTTCCTTATTGTGAATCCAATCAGCTATTTGTGTAATAGTGACTGCCTGATAGTACTTTTAGTAACCCTCAGCCTTCCTCTCCTTTGCCAACACAGCATAGGAGGTACTTGGTCCCCTGTGTGGTCATATGGATTGTAGTACAATAGATCTCAGTTTCCTAAAATATACCAGAGGGAGAATGATTGGGAGCATTTGAAATGTATGTTAATTTGGGTAAAATGTTCATTTTTAATGGATTTATTCTGCCTAACCACTAAAGGGGTCTATATCTCAAGGAGTTTAAATTCTCTTTATTCGTGTTAAGCAGAGGAATATAATTAGCCCTATACAGGGCCACCAAATATGTTGTTAATTTACATCCAAGATACCCTAATTCCTCCTTATGGCACGCAAAAGAGATTTGGGCTGGATTGCCTGCTGTTTGCTCTGCGGCACTGTTATGTTCATAATCTCTGACTTAGATGTATTCATTTTAAAATGAGTTTCCCGTACCGCCTTAATTCTTGGAACACAATCGGTATCGTCATTCTAGGGTTAGAAATACAAAAGAGTGTATCATCTGTATATGCAGCAATTTTATACTCCTTCCCACCAACTCTCATGCGCTTGATGTCTGCACTCTTACTAACTGCAAGCAGTTTCAGAGCTATTACAAATAGAATGGCCGAGACGGGGCATCCTTTCCTGGTACCGTTGAATAACTCAAAAGAAGGCTTTCATTTACTTGTATTTTCACTGTTGGATGGTGTT